TGTTGTCCTAATAAAACACTTGGGAGGGAAGGTGGCATGGTGTAGCCCAGGGGTGTCAAACATGCGGCCCGAGGGCTAGATCAGGCCCCCCCCCGGAGGGCTTCTATCAGGCCCACAGTGGAACTGGCTGTCTTCTGCTTCTCCTTCCAGTTCTGCTGCTGCATCATTGTACATTTGCAGCTTACAGATACACACCTGAACAGCATACTCAAGATTGCAACAGCACAGACATTTTGATGCAATAATTCAGAGCAAGAGGTGTCAGTTATCAGACACTGTTAAATATAAAAATATTAAAGGTAAAGGAAAGGTTCCCTTGCTCGAAAGCCAGTCAAATTCCACTCTAGGGTTGCGGTGCTCATCTCCGTTTCAAAGCTGAAAAGCCAGCGCTGTCCGAAGATGTTTCCGTGGTCATGTGGCCGGCATGACTAAACACCAAGGCACATGGAACGCTGTTACCTTCCCACCGAAGTGGTACCTATTTATCTACTTGCCATTTCTTGCTTTTGAACTGCTAGGTTGGCAGGAGCTGGAACTAGAGACAAGAGCTCACTCCGTCATGCAGCACACTCGGGTCTCAAACTGCTGAACTACCGACCTTCCACAGCCTGCAGTTCAGCGTCTTAACCACTTGAGCCACCGCAGCTCAAGAAATTGCAAGAGTGCTAATGTTTTAAGCATGTTTTTATTTTAAGTTAAAAAAAAAACCCTTTGGCATTACATTTTATGACACACGTGGACCGGCCCAACAAGGTCTAATTTATGTCAGATCCGGCCCTCATAAAATATGAGTTTGATACCCCTGCTCTAACCCTTTAAAGGAGCAGCTGCTTTTTGGAGGTGAAGGCCTGGGAACTTCTCTGTTCACCACTGTAGCTGTCATAACAAATGAGCACTCATAACAAATGAGTTCGACACCCCAGGTGTAGCCCAATCTTGTCAGATCTTGGTTGCTAAGCAGGGTCAGTATTTGGAAGGGAGACCACCAAGGAAGACTCTGGAGAGGAAGGCAACGGCCAACCAGCTCTGCTTCTCGCTTGCCTTGAAAGCCCCTTGCCGGGGTCGCCATAAGTTGTCTGTGACTTGACGGCACTTTACAGACACAATAAAACGGCCATTATTTAACAATATTTGACCAGTTAATTGAGTCTTTTTGACTGCTCTAGTGCCCTTCCCCACAAGGATTGCACACACAGAGCAAATAAACTAGATTAGCTAGGGTTGCCAGGTTCCCCCTGGTCACCGGCAGGGGATGGAAGAGGTACAGTTGCCAGATCCAGGTTGGGAGACTCTTGGAGTATCGGAGATAGAGCCTGGGGAGGACAAGGGACCTCAGTGGGGTGCAACACCATAGAGTCCACCCTCCAGAGCATCCATTTTCTCTGGTGGAACTGATCTCTGCAGTCTGGAGATAAGGTGTAATTCCGGGGGATCCCCAGGTCCCACCTCGACGCTGGCATCCCTAGGAAGGATTTTATTAAAACTATATTACTGTATTTTTACATACTGAAGAGCTATTGTGGTGTAGTAGCTGCAGTAACTGCCTACAAACTGGGAGAGACAGGTTTTCATGGGGAACTCTGTGCAATCTGGAGATCAATCATAATTCCAGGAGAATTCCAGGCCACACCTTCAGGTCGGCAATCAGGACCACCCCATTCCCTTTACTGAATTTACACACTACAAGAAAAGAGAAGGTATCCCCCCATACATCACATTTAATGTGGGTACAGGCTTTTAAGGGTCAACCAATACATTCTGAGGCTAAGTGATCATGAGAATGCACCCTCCTTATCAGGAAGATAAAGATGCAACACAAGCCAATGATGTGGTTGGTTGGTGAAACCAGCAAATTTCCAGACAGTCTAAAAGCACAGAATTTAAAATATATATATATACTTTTCTTAGGATGTCCGAGAGACTGACTCCAAGAAGTGTCTACAAACTTGGCTGTTGAGTTTAGAAATAACATAATCTGTTAGCAAGGAGTTTGTTTAAAGTTTTCACCTCAAGGTAAAGTTTCGCACCTTGTACTCCTGAGCAGCTTCTTCAGCACGTACCACCGCATCAGAGGTATGGGTCTTGGATGCCCGGCAGGTCTCACAGATAGGGGCTCTCTCCTGGGTGCAGAACCAGATAAGCCGCTCTCCATGTTCCTCGCAGAGCCCCTTCTTCTTCTTCTCCTCCTCCTCCTCCTCCCTCTCTCTTTCTCTCTCTCTCTCTGACTTGTTTTGATCCTTCGAGGGAGGTGGCTTCTTGGCCAGGGCTTCCTTCTTCACGTTTGCAAAGCAGAAGCGGCATAATTTCAGGCCATCAACAATCACAGCATTCTTGAAGGGCCCCCGGCAGAGGACACAGACCCCAGACTTCCAGGGTTTTGTTCTAGGGGCTGGTTTTGAAGAAGCAGAAGCCATGGCTCCCGCAGGAAGCAAAGCACGCTTAGGTTTCACTTTCCTGCTTTCTCCAGTCCTTTTAAAACACTACAATAAAAGGCGCAGCTACTGGGAAGGTGCCAGGGAATAAACACCGTCAGGGAGGGGAAGATCAATCTGATCTCATTCGCAATATTGAACTAATATTCTGCTAGAGGAGTTGGATAACACTGGCAAAGTCCATGGTTCGTTCAGTGTGGCATTAAGACAGTTAACAGGACCCAAACAAATTTCTCTGTGCTTTTTTAAAGAAGAAAAAGGGGAAAACTTACTTCAGTAAATTCCAGCAGCAAAGAATGGTGGTGGAAACTCCTGTCAAGTTGCAGCCAATTATAGCAATCCCATAGGGCTTTCAAGGCAAGAAACAAACACAGGGTGGGTCACCAATGCTCCCTCTAAGCTGTCGAGTCTTCTACTTGGTGAGCTACTGGCATTAAAGTTGTGAGTGAGCAATTTGGCTACTGCATAAATTAGTTTGCTCTGCAGCCATCCTTCCTGAGCGAAGACAAAAAATGTGTGAGTTGGAGGCTAAAAAACTGTGAGCAGGCTCACACTAACTCAGCTTAGAGGGAACACTGGATTGCCTGCCTCTGCATAGCAACCCTGGACTTCCTTGGTGGTCTCCCATCCAAGTACTAACCAGGCCAACCCTGCTTAGTTTCTGAGATCTGATGAGGCTGGATTAGCCTGGCCCATCCATCCAGGTTGGGGAATCATGTAGAAGGGGATATGAAAGACATCTGCCTGAAAACATTTTAGAGCTGCTGCCAGACTGAGTAGACAATACTGACCTTGATGGACTGATGTTCTGATTCAGTATAAGGCGGCTTCAGGTGTGTACTTCAAAAAAAACCCCGGCTTCATTTTAGATGTCAAAGCAGGGCAAAACCTCCATGTGGAGCCAGCCAAGTTCCTTGTAACCCAGCTCTTTTCTCCTGCAACCCCACATCCCCAACTTCGTATTCTTATGATCCAGCAAACCTGGAAGTATGTGTTTACCAGCATAACATGTGATTCTACTCTGAGACCTGAAATTGCTAGTCAGAGCACACACCCCTGCCAGCCTCCTGGTGGAACTTGGGGATCCCCCCAGAATTACAGCATTGTACCTCACTAAGGTCAGGAGGCTGAAGTCGGTTGCTTATTCAGAGTTCCTTATTCATTCCTTATTCGTGAAATCACCCAGAAACACTGAGGAGAGTTGGAAAACTCTGAACCCCAACATAAAGTCTGGATCACCACATATAATATACCCCCATGTTCAGGGGACTCTCCCCTTCAAGAAGATATATCCTGTTTCCTGGTCCAAAGCACGGTTCCTGTGCAGTGCCCCTAGGACACAGGCAGACACTGGGGCCGTGCTGCACGCCCACAAAATCTTTTGACCACCCCCAAATGACACATCACCACACTCTGGAGACTGTCCCCTGCAAGGAGACATACAGCACTGCCTGGTCCAAACACTGGTTTTGGCACTACAAGCTTCTATTTGGAGTACCTCCAAGAGCCCTCGATTTCTAAGGAGATTTGAATAAAGAACTGGTTGCCCTTTACAACCCAAAATAAGGTTTGGACCCCCACACTTCATACACCCTCATGTTCAGCGGACTCTCTCCTTTGAGGGGACATGTGCTGTTTCCTGGTCCAAAGTGCGGTTCTTGTGCCAACTGCTCCAAAGTGCCATGCCCCCAGGACAATCACACAGGCAGACACTAGGGCCAAGCTGCACCTCAAAATAATCGTTGGACCACCCCAAAGGACACATCCCCACACTCTAGAGATTGTGCCCTGCAAGGTAGCATAGAGTGATGCCCAGTCCAAACACTGGTTCTGATGCCAAGAGCTTTAATTTGGAGTGCTTCTCCGAGGCCTGTATTTCGAAGGAGATTTGAATAAGGAAATGCCCCCTGCACCAAAAATAAGGTTTGGAACCCCACACTTCATACACCCTCATGTCCAGGGCAATCACACAGGCTGCACCCACAAAACAATCTTTGGGCAACCCCCAAAGGACACATCCCCACGCTCTGGAGACTGTGCCCTGCAAGGTGGCATAGAGGGATGCCCGGTCCAAACACTGGTTCTGATGCCAAGAGCTTTAATTTGGAGTGCTTCTCCGAGGCCTGTATTTCGAAGGAGATTTGAATAAGGAAATGCCCCCTGCACCAAAAATAAGGTTTGGAACCCCACACTTCATACACCCTCATTCCAGCGGACTCTCCCCTTCGAGGGGACATATGCTGTGTCCTGGTCCAAAGTGCGGTTCTTGTGCCAGCTGCTCCAAAGTGCCGTGCCCCCAGGACAATCACACAGGCAGACACTGGGGCCAGGCTGCACCCACAAAACAATATTTGGACCACCCGAAATGACAGATTCCCAGACTGCAAGGAGCCTCCTTCTTAGGCAGAAATCTTCGTGTCCTGCAAGGTGGCATAGAGTGATGCCTGGTCCAAACACTGGTTCTGATGCCAAGAGCTTTAATTCGGAGGCCTGTTTTTCGAAGGAGATTTGAATAAGGAAGTGCCCTCTGCACCAAAAATATGCTCTGGAGACTGTGTCCTGCAAGGTGACACAGGGGCCAGGGTACACCCCTAAAACAATCCTTACAACACCCCAAATAACACATCTCCACCAGTGTTCCCTCTAACCTGAATTAGTGTGAGCCAGCTCACATATTTTTGTCTTAGCTCAGGAAGGATGGCTCCAGACATTTCTGTCTCAGCTCAGGAAGGATGGCCCCAGAGCAAACTACATTATGAAGCAGCCAAATCACTCACTCACTTTAATGTTAGTAGCTCACAAATTAGAATTTTTGCTGACAAGATACTACAGCTTAGAGGGAGCCCACACTCTGGGGACTGTCCCCAGCAAGGAGACATACAGCATAGCCTGGGCCAAGCACTGGTTCTGGTGCCACAAGCTTTGTGTGTGTGTGTGGGGGGGGGTGCCTCCAAGAGACCTGTATAAGTACCTTGGAATAAGGAACTACTCCCAGTGAGGTTCCAGTTGGACAATCACACAGGCAGACTTTAGGATTAAGGTCATTCACTTGCTGAATGAGAATTAACACTCCTCAGAGAAGCTGCAATTACTGATAACAAACTGAGTTTGCTGAACTTGAATTCATTCCCAAGTTCACAATGATGCATCCATCAGGGCTTGATGGATTCTTATCTCACCATAGATGCTAATGTTCCACACCCATGTTCCAATCAAGCTACTTAGAAAGTCCATTGTACCTTTGCATTCTGACTTATTTCCTCTAAACAGTCCCTGCATCCTTTTATTTGGATATAACAACTCAAAGATTCTCCCCCCCCCCAAAGGTGCAAGGATTGTTTTAGGGGTGAACCCTGGCCCCTGTGTCTTCCTGTGTGATGTCCTGGGGGCACTTCACTTTGGAGTGGCTGGCACAGGAACCGCTCTTTGGACCAGGAAACAGCACATGTCCCCTGGAAGAGGAGGGTCCCACGAACTTGGGGGTGTATGGCATGTGGTGTTCCAGCCCTCATTTTGGGGTGCAAAGGGCAACCAGTTCCTTATTTAAATCGCCTTTGAAAAAGAGGCCTCTTGGAGGCACGCCAAATAGAAACTTGTGGTGCCAGAACCAGTGTTTGGACTGGGCAGTGCTGCATGTCACCTTGGAGGGCACAGTCTCTAGATCGTGGGGATGTGTCATTTGGGGGTGGTCCAAAGATAGTTTTGTGGGTGCAGCCCAGCCCCAGTGTCTGCCTGCATGATTGTCCTGGGGGCATGGCACTTTGGAGAAGCTGGCACAAGAACCGCACTTTGGGCACTTCCTTATTCAAACCTCCTTTGAAATACAGGCCTTGGGGAGAGCCCTCTGAATAGGAGCTCCGTGCTTTGGATCAGGAAACAGGATATATCTTCTTGAAGGAGAGAGTACCCTGAACCTGGGGGTATATCATATGTGGTGATCCAGACCTTATTTTGGGAACTCCGAATAAGGAACCAACGTCAGCCTCCTACTAAGGTCCCTGTCCTCCTCAGGCTCACCCACAAATCTCCAGGAGTTTCCCAACCTGGATAGGGCAACCCTACCCCCCCATCCCCCACCGGTGGCTGGGGGGGGCTGGCACCCCTACCCTTGGATGAGTTATTTATTTCTTTAGAAAAAATGTATGCCCCCTCTCCAGAGAACCTGCCTGAGGGGGCTTATAAATTATAACATAATAAAAATATAAAATCCTCCACCTTCCAAAACATAGATCGAGGCAGCTTAAAATGAGTAATAATTTTCAGACTAAAAGCATACGACAGTGTTAAAAGATTAACTTCTTAATCAGAAGCCCAAATAGAACTCTCCTAAGAATCTAAAATGAGGCTACACTGAGGTTAACGTACTTTTGTGTGACCCAACCCACAACATTTTACCTTACTGGTTGTAATGTTGTAAAGTTGCCGCGAGACCCTTCGGGTGAGCGGCGACTATAAAATCAAAATAAAGAGATAACATTATTAGTTATGTGTGACTGATGATATGAAACTACTGACTACATCTGATGAAGTGGGGTTTTAGTCCACAAAACCTTATGCTAGAAGAAAATAGTGTTTACAAGGTGCCAGAGGACTCCTGACAGGGTTGCCAGTCTCCAGGTGGTAGTTGGAGGTCCCCTGAGATTACAACTGATCTCCAGGCAACAGAACCACTGGAGAAAAGGGCTGCTTCGGAGGGTGGACTCCCTGGCGCTAAGGTCCCTCCCTGCCCAAATCCTGCATTTCTCAGGCTCCAC